TGCTATGATTTCTTTTTTCCCCACTCTGGACTATGCAGAACTCAATGAAACATCACTTGAAAGAATGTGAAAAAGGAAACCCATTAATAAAGATGTTATTTATGAAGTGTCTTGTTTTGGTTTTATGTCGTAACAGTTCTTTAAAAGAAGTTAATTCATCTTTCTAAGATATTAATACCCACTTCTGACAAAGTGGCCTGTATTTCACTGCGGTGACCCCATACAGTGGCATCTATGGGTCGGATAAGATTTATTCTGCTTGGATTTAATTAAACTCGGGGTTTAGTACGTATTGTGTAACTGAGAGGCATTGCTGTACTTCAGGCTTGGTTGAATGAATGTTTCAGCAACAGTAGTTGGCATTGGAGACGGGAAGGATGTTTGAGCTTTCTCATTTATCCTAATGCCAGATCAAGATTATTGCATTAACTCCTGTATTCAGTGTTTAGGTGCTGTCTGATGTGCCAAAGGTGACCTATGGCGTTCACTGGAATACAACACCTGCATGCCTGCGAGCTTTACTGTATTCTAATAATGGCTTGAAAGAGAAATAGGGCTTTTGGCATCCACTTGTTTATAACTGAGGTCAGGAAAATGATGGTGGTGGTCACAGGTCTGCTTGAAGTCGAATTATTCTCTTGTTTGTGCTGTCAAGAGTGGTTGGTAGTTACCAACCAAAGTCCGGTGCTGACTGCAACATGCTCTGATCCAGTGCAGGTGATGTAATTGTTAATTAGGGATACAGGAGTTACATTAAAACCAGCCTCATCAACTCGCTGTCAGTGGGGAAATGTAACTTATTTGCACTGAGATAAACCACTCTTTGCACAGTATTTCAGCGTGGAACTGAATGTTTTCTGTTTTGAAATGTGAGTGCTACACATGTTTAAAAGCCTAATTTATATAATAAACTGCAGAAGAAAAGCTAAAGGTGAAAGTGGTCTTTAACATGTTCTTAACATGGTGCATGTTATTGTGTTATCCCATTCTGGTTTGAGCTGGTAGTTATTGTCAGATTATCAAACCCAGGAGAAAAGTGCGTGGTCTGGTACATGGTCTGCCAGTGAGTTTGGGTTCTTCAGCTGGGTATAATAATAAATCAGTCTTTCCTTTGCTAGGTTTTCTGTTCATGTGTGCATGGAAGCAAATCCTCCGCTTGGAAAACTGACCATGTTAAAAGTGTTTCCTTTGTTTCAGTTCTAAAATGCAATAAAAGGATGTGACCTGACAGGCGCATGGTGCTGCCTCAGGATCCAGCTGCCCTCTGGGATCTGCCATGCGTGGAGTGGGGCTTGCCACTGAGTTTAAGTATGTATCAAACTGAGTCCACTCCATGCTGTTGGGCACTGCCCACGGGAAGGAGTATTAACCTGCTGTGATAGAGAGCTGCTTTAAATCTGAACTCTATCTTCTCCTTCCTTTATGTTTTTCAAATGATTTCTTAGTTGACACTTCTGAACTAGAATTAGCAATGTGTTTGGTGAGCAGTTATGGTCAAATAGTAATTAAAGGAGCACATCCCTTGGTTTTCCCATGACCCCATTCCTTACGGCACATGTCCCATCACAGAAGAAGTTGGTAATGATATTTTAGAGCCTTTGGTGCTTTTCCTTCCAGGATCTCAAAGCTTTCTACCTGCTAATCCAGCCTCAACATCCTTGTGAGGCAGAGGGCTCTTAACCTGTGAGGAAGGTGGGGTCTAGAGGGTTTTGTTCACTTTTGGTCACTGCCTGAATAGGAAGAGCTCTCAGTGGCCACCAGCAACATGGGGTGAAGCAATGCCCCCCTTTACCTGGGATCATGTCCTAGAGTGATGCCAGGAGCCTTCATCGCATGCAAGCTACTGAAGGTACTACACAAACCATGTGTAAATCAGTGGTATTTTGGGTCACCTCCTCTGCGTTCTTAGCAAAAAAGCTGCTCTAAGTGTATGCCATTCACTGTCAGCTGTGTTGCACCCAACTATGACAATATTTAGTAGATAACAAGTTAAAAGAGCAACACAAAAACTTGCAATGTGTGGAGTGGGTGCAAAGCTTGGATCTACTTGTAATTTCTGATTCTCTTTCCTAAAATTGCCATGTAAATAAATGCTATTCTTGTAAAAGGAGGATTTAAAGGCATGTTTTCAGTATTGGGGCTAAATGGATCATTTTGCCAAAGGTGAATAAGAATTTATATTGTTTGGCTAGATATTTCCCCCCTCAGAGATGCTACTTCACTATCAGAGCGGTTTGATCAACTCCAGGAGCAGCATTAGCTGGAGCAAGCCCCTTGCAATAGGTTGTGGTGGAGATGAGCTATTGGAGATGTGGTCTTAGCAATTTGATGGTACTTGAGTACCTTAACCCATGAGCAGATACAGCGACTTTATGGCCATGGGGTGTATAGTGACAAGCTGCTGCCTGGGCAGGGATGGGATGATGCTTGCAGTAGTTTGTACAGAGGGAGAAGCTGAGTTAAGGGGGTACCCTGTCGAGAGGATCTGCAGTAGCTCAGGTTTTGTCCATGGGGTTTGAGGGAAGGAAGCTGCTCCCCCATGAGAATGTGGCTCTTACAAGGGAGGTTGGAATTTGGTTTAAGTTAAAATCGTTGTTAGAGGTTTGTTGGAACCTAAAAGCTTTGTGGCAGCAGGAAATAGGCGTCAGCACTGGGGACCATGGCTGGGGGCTGCCCTGTGGGTTGTGTGAGCATCTCTAGGACCAAGTTCCTGGCTATGCAATGGAGGAAGGGAAACATTAACTGGGTTGAAAGATGTTCTCTTGCCAGCAAGGTAAGAGGGAGAGCAATGACAAACAGGGCTCCCAGTGCTGCTCTGCCACAGCTTGTTTGTGGGCTGACCCCAGGGCTGGTATTGGGAAACACTGGTGGTTGGGAAAGCAAAGGGGAGTGAGAGAAACTAGTGATAGGAGCTGTATTTCGATCAGCCTGTGCATGCTCTGGTCATGCCATCGTTTGTCAGCTGATGTGGAAATCCATCCTGCATCCTACAGCTGAGCTGGTCCTGGGTGGGCCCTTCCCAAGGACAAAGCTGAGGTCACTTGCTTGATTCTTCTGACCAGAGATAAGCATGAACTGCAAAACTTCAACCCATATCTGAAGCTCTTTTATACCTGTTGGCATTTGGAGCTGCATCTTGAGCCTGAACTGTTGGTTCCAGCCCCAGTGCCCAAATGCTGTTACCTCGCTGCTTTCTCAGCAGGATTTTGGTTTAGGTTCAAAGCAATTGGAGCTGTGAAAGACTCCTGCATGTGCCACTTAACTTCTTCTATTCCTTGCTCTGTAAGTGTATGCATGTAATATACAATATGTAAATATATATGTATGCATATATATATATAGACACAAGGTTTAAAATAAATCTGTTCAAGATACTGTTACTAAGAGGCATTAACATGAAATTGCAGAGGACATTGAGTGCGAGCCTGTGCTTGCAGCAGGTTTTAAAGGCTTAGAGAACCTCAGGAGGAGTTTGCAGTCGGGCAAATGGAAAGCTTTTGCTTTACTGGTGAATAAGTAATTACAGGAGACACTGGGGAAATGCAGATGTGCAGCTACAGCAGGGAGAGCAGCTGGGTGCTGCCTGCGGAGCTGGGTTTATGCAGAGCAGGAGGCAAAGCTAATAATACAGCTTGCCTTTCTTTGGAGCCTCTGCTTTGTTCCTGGGACCAGAGGCACTCGGAGCATTGGTGTGAAGCGGTTTGGGTGTTCCTGCCAAATGAGATGTTCACTCCAGTGTCTTAGGGAGCGTGTCCCATCCACTGGCTCTGTTTGTGACTCTTCAGCTGGTTCTGAAGAGCTCCAGAAGGAGCTTGTGTTGATTTGAGATTTGCACCCCAAAATCTGTCTCCTTCTGGATCTATAGCCTTGTTTTGGTCTCCCTCCCATCCTTCTACCTGCTGTTACCACTCTGTAATACCCTTTCATTCCCTCATCTGCTGTTGGAATTGCCTCCTGAGGTTAAAAACCAACAGGACTTTTTCCCCTTCTGGCTTTCTTGGGGAGAGCTTTTCCTCAGCAGTTTGATGCTTACAATCCATGGGAAGGAATTTGCCATGGGGCCTTCAGTCGGAGAAGGAGTTCTGCTCGTGGTCCCAGAGCCGTTGTCAGGATGCAAGAGAGAGTCAGGATAACGCTTACACGTGTTGCTTGCCGTTGTTATTTGGGGAGCAATGAGGAAAACCAGCGAGGTTCATTGGAGTTCACAGCCGCGAGCCTGACTGCAGCGGAGAGCGTGTAACAGATCCCCATGCATGTGACTGGGATGGGGTCTATTTATGTCTCCATAAACATGGAATTATGAAACACCCGCTGTGGAGATGGGGCTGCTCAAGTCCTGGCCTGACCTGCTCGGCTGTCATTGGACTTGCACCTCCTTGGGAGCATGCAGTGGATCTGAACCCACTGCAGGACATGGCGCTGCTGGGAGATGCTTATTGAAAGGGAAGCAGGTCAAGTAATAAAGCAAAGAATCCACCCGGTGCGTTACCAGGTAAGAGGGGAATGTGCTGGGGGTGAGTTTGTGTAATGCAACCTTACCTTGTGCACGTAAGAGCCCTTCACAGAAAGGAATCCAAAAAAGAGGTAGTATTTTCTTTCGTACAGTCCAGATGTGAAATCCTTTAAACAGATGTGGCTGAGACCTGGATTCCTTCTGCAAAATAATAATTAAGGGGTGAAATAATAAGATACTGTTATAATAATAATAAGATTGTGAAATAAGGACAAGAAGATGGGGGAGAAATGGGTTACGGGGTTGTGTATACTTTGCTTTTGTACTTCGTAGGTGGTACTGATGGGGACCAGCATGGTACAAGGCTGCCATGGGGAATGAATAGCTGGTCCTGCTCCAAGCCCGCTCCATCCCTGGCAGTGTTCAAGACCAGGCTGGATGAAGCCTTGGGCGAGATGGTTTAGTGTGAGGTGTCCCTGCCCATGGCAGGGGCGTTGGAACTGGATGATCTTCAGGTCCTTTCAAACCCGAACTATTCTATGATTCTATGTGTCCCTTCTGCATCACTGGGACAATCCCAGGCACCTCTGCATCAGCTCCCGTGCCGAGCCTGCATCCCAGGTCCAAAGGTCAGTGATGTTCCTGCCCCAGATGCTGGATTCCTCCCTCAGGTCACCCTAGCGCAGCATCTCCTCATCCAGCACCCATGCTGGGTGTAGCTCGCTGCTGTAGGCAGGCTCAGGGAGCCTCCTTGGGATCCGGAGCCCATTGCCAGAGGGGATGAGTGGCAGGGCTGTGCTCTGGGTTGCACCGGGCAGGAGCTGGGACAAGCAGCAGCCTGTGCAGGCAGGTGAGTGGAAAACCAGAGCCTGTGCTGGGGACTGGGGGAAGAAGTCATGAAAGGAGGGAGAAGGAAAGCATGGAGGGGAAAACCACCAATGAGATCCTGGATTTATGCGATTCCTGGTTTTACTGTTTCAGAGCAGTGGCAATCCAACCCCTGCCTCATTGCAGCAAGTGCCTGAGCAGACCTCCCATTCACACACAATGTCCCCAAACCTTTGTCTTTCTCCTCTGTAATGTAGCTTATAGACACATTGCATCCCTGTGTCTGCTCCCTTTAGCCTCTTTCTGTATCTCCCTAGGGAATAATCTGCTCCCAGCCCTGCTCCTTGGGAAGTTTGTCCTAAGACTAAAAGATGAGGTGAAGTGGAAGGAGCAGCATCCCCATGCAAGCTGTCATGTTGCTGCTGCTCAAGAGCCAAAGAAAACCCCCAAACCCCAAATTCAGCTCATTCCCCCATGAAAATAGAGCCATGCCCCATACTGCGTGGCTGGACATGGTTTTCAAGTGATGTTCTTGTTCTTTCTTTGCCTTCTCCTGTTACTGTTAAGGCTGCTCTATGCCTTGTGCAATCCTGCCCTCGGGATGAAGCTCAATCCAAAGGAACCATGGCAGGAGTTTGCTGGAGCGCCCTGCCTGAGCTTGCAGCTCCCTCTGACTCCAGTTGGCACTCCAGGATATCGGAGCTGTGATTTATGTTCCACAAGGAAGTGCAGCATCATGTGTTTAGGATAAGGTGCTGAGCATCATTTAGGCTTGACAACTGCGGGATTCAGAGGACATAAGGCATCCAAACTCCTTAGTTTGTTTTGCTTTATTGATAGTCATTTAGTAGGAGGTGTACACAGGGAGCATTGCTGAGGTCTGGGTGCGTAAGAAAAGCAGGATCAAGCCTTTCACCTGTGAATTTGAAGGCTATTTTTTCCTCATTCAAAACACACTCATCCCTCACATTGTTGCTGATGCTGCATTTGCTGCGCAGGGGTGCTGTACCCTTGGGTGGCAGAGGGGAGTCGAGCTCCGGAAGAGCTCCCTTTGGCTTGGATTCAAACGGATCTGTGTAAGGGCTTCAATGAAGTGCATAATTGGGATGGTGGCCGCTTTCCCCCATGAGTTCTACCAGATGAGCAATGTCTCCGTAATGAGCCGCTGTGTTTCTGCTGGGTTTTGGAGGCTTGGTATTTCAGCACTAGCGCTTAGGTCCTTGCCTCTTCCTTACAAGTTGATGTACTTGTATTTAACCACGAGCCGGGCTGTCAGTAAGAAGTGGTTCCTGCCTCTGCCCTTCGTAAAAGGTGATTACAAAAGCAAACAGAACGATGGCTCTGGGTTCACGGTTGGGAAGCTGGAACAAAAAGAGGCTTAAACAGCAATGAGTCAATGCAGCAATGAAGTGCCTATTTAGCGGTAAATAGCGGCTGGCTGCCATTCCCTGCTTCCAAGCCCGTGTGCCCTGGAGGGGTTTGGAAAGGGGTGATGCAAACTGATGAGTCACAGTTCAGAACAATGGTTTCTTCATGCGAAATGAGTCAGGATAAAAGCAAAACAGGTTTTTCAAGAAGCTGAAATTAAGAAGAGGAATAAAATAATGGGATGTCTTTTAACCCTGTGCTGACAGTGTTCAACCTTCTTTCTGCAGAGCAAGTGGTTGTGGTGCATCCCCGAGACCAGTGGATTCGACTGGGCCTGCTTGCACTTTGCTTTCCACTCTCGGGGTGTGCATGCAGACAAGCAGAGCAACAGATGAATGCCGTGTGTATGAGCCCTAAGACTGGTGTATGTATGACAGTGCCTCTTAACACGGAATTGCAGTGATTCCTCTGCACCGTGCTCCCTGTGCTCTCCCCTTTGCTTAATGTAGAAGGTTGGTTCCATTGAGAGATGAGCTGCATGCCTGGGACCTCGACAGCCAGTGCTCTCTGCCCCCAGCCTGGCCTCCCATGGGTGCTGCAGTCCCTTTTAGCATCCCAGAGTGGTTTGGGTTGGAAGGGACCTTAAAGCTCCTCCAGCTCCAACCCTGCCACGGTTTCTTGTGAGCCCCTTTAGGTGCTGGGAGCTGCTCTAACATCTCATATGTATATGAGATGTTATAGCACATATATATATATACACACACATATATGTGTGCGGTAAGGTTTTATTGCAGGAATTATCACTTTAGCAATCTGAATGCAGATACTTCCTATTCTTAAGGACTTCATTACATCAGACCAGTTAGGTAAAGGGGAGGGCAAGCTACCCTCTGTCAATAAAGACACCATAATCCGGTTAATCCAGCAAGCCAGAGGAAGGGTTTATTTCCTTCCTCGGACTATGTGTATCCACAGGATGAGCAGTGGATTTCCCAACGCCCTCCCTCATCCCTCCGTGCCCTGCACTTTGCTCAGTTGGTCCGAGGAAGGAGAATCCCAAGTCTCGATGGCATCTTCCCCACTGTCAGCGCTTCTTCTCCTTCGGTCCAAGCCCTCGTTCCAGGCTGGGATGCCCTCGGGAGCTCTCCTGCTCTCTCTGCTTTCCATCCATAGGTGGCAGCAGGCTGTAAACTCTTTAACCTCTCCAGGCTGCTGTTGCTCAGGAGCTCAGAGCGGTGTGCAGTGAACTCCGGAACTTGGGAGCGCGGAGCCTGGTCTGAGGGGTGAATTATGTTCCAAGGCGCAAATCATCCCTTGCAGCTCTTGGCTGAATTGCTCTATGAAGACAAATAGCACAAAGGCAAACGCAGGGGTAAGAAAGGGCAGATGAGCCCCTATTTCAAGCCAGCACAGGCAAGGAGCAGCAATTGTGTTCGATGAGTTACCCAGGAAAAGCGATGCGGTGACAGCTTTGCCTTGTACAAGCACGGGGGTGCAGGGGTCGTGTTTGTGATGCAGATTTAAGTGGGTTTGCTCAGATTTGCTTTTGCACTTCGGGGATGTGAGGATCTCTCTTTGCTTTCCCCTGGGGGTGATGCCTGTTTCCTGCCTGGGTTGGTCTCTGTAGCATCCCCAGGCAGGCTTGGCATGGTGGGGACATGAGGATGGTGCCATGCAGGGTTGGCTGCTCCTGCTCCAGCAGCACACGGAGTGTGATCTGCTCCATGGTGGTAATCACCCCACTGCATGGTGTGCTCAGGATCCTGATACATCCGTCTTCGCCAGCATCACGCCATGGCTGCCCTGGGCTCTGCAGTGCCATGAGCCAGCCCTCCTCCAGCACCCACATCCCAAACCCGCTCTTGAGGATGGAGAAGATAAAGGATGCAGGTCAGCATCAAGGCACTTGTACTCACAGTGATATTAAGGTGCAGGTCCCCACTGGCACTGTTCATGTAACAGATGGTGCAGCCACATCTTCTCTGGGCACCCTGTGCCAGCGCCTCAGCACCCTCACAGGGAAGAGCTTCTGCCTAAGAGCTCATCTCAGTCTCCCCTCTGGCAGGTTAAAGCCATTCCCCCTGTCCTGTCCCTACAGGCCCTTGTCCCAAGCCCCTCTCCAGCTTTCTTGCCAGCCCTACATTTAACATGTTTCAATACATTTGTTTTCCACATCCCACACAAGGCGAAGAGCTCATTTCACTCGATGCGGGTGCAATGCTGGTGCCACTGCTGGGCCATGGGGTACCCTGTGCTGGGAGCCCGGTGCATTACCCCACGCTGCCAGCGTGTGGGAATTCTCCATCCCCACAGCCCCCGCTCCCCAGCAGGGCTCCGAAGTGAAGCACGATCCTTGTTTGCACCCCGTGCCTGGCTTTGCAGGCAGGATCACCCCTATTTTGACACCTCTCAGAAGCTCGCAGCAATGAGTGACGGCTCTTTGAGAGGAGCAGCAGCTCCGCTCCGGCTGCCGTTGACAGGAGCAGATGACAGGAATATGAGGGCTTAATTATTATGTAATTAAGTTGAAGTGATCATTTATGTCTGTTTAGTGTCTAACGTAAAATAAGCTGGTGATCTCAGCGCAGTTCACAGTGGCCTTTGGTTAGAAACCATGAGCATGTGGGATGTGAATAGGGAGAGAAGGAGGTCTGGGAGCGGGTTCCTGCATGGAGGGTGGATGCTGCATGGAAGGCTGGGATTCTGTGGTGTTCTGCCTGGATTTGGGTGGCTTCTTCCCTTCTGCACTCCGGGAGATTCCCAAGGAACCATTCTCATATCAGAGAGCTGTGAGAGCAGTGGTTCTTCATAATATGTAGTATAAAATGTGCAGGATGCAGGGGTGTTGCTGTGGTCCTCGGAGCCAGGCTCACTGCGGTCCTGCCTGGCCTAAGGTGGGAAACCCTCCGCCTCCGTCACTCTCACTGGTCCCAAGCACCCAGGAGCACCAGCAAAAAGCCCCTATTCAAACCACCAATGAACACCCCAGCTTCTTGGTAACCCTCCAAAATCAGATTTCCTTGGAAGCAGAGTTCAGAGGATGGTCCCTGTCCAGGATAAGCACATGCAGGGATCATGCCGTGCTGTGAGCGTCCTAAGCCTGAGCGTTGGCAATGGTTGGTGCCACACATTGTGACTGTAAAGGACATAAGTGAGTGTCTCTCTGTCTTCCCATGTCATTCCAATCCAGGAACTGGGGTTTTCAGCATTAAATTCTATTCACATAAGCTACTCAGTATAGCTGTGCCTGCAGGATTCTCTTACAAGGCTAAAACCCCCTTTTAATTTCAGGTTAATGCTGGTGCTGGTGCTCTGCTGTAATACCCAAAAGCTTCTGCACCCACAGGTGGGAACTGCATGAGGAGATGCTCTTTAACCAGAAACCTTCACCGCAGTTTGGCTTTTTGGTGGTGGTTGATGCCATTGGTGTTGT